CCCTGTACGCTATAGAGCTCTGGTCCCGGCTGCCGATACGGATGTGGTGATGGTATCGGCGCTTGTGAATACGCTGGACTCGATTGGGACGAACTCCCGCTCCCGCTAAGACTCGCGTAACTCGGACTAGCGTGCATAGGTGGCGCTTGCGGTGGTGGCATGGAAGGTGGCATGGGATAGTGAGATGATGGTTCATAGGACGACGTGGGTGTGTAGATCGAGGTCTCATAATCGGATGAGCACATTTGGGGACGCGATTCGGGTCGGGTGAGCTCAGGCATGGGGTGGAAACCAGGTTGTTCTGGTGCGGGGGTGCCAGACTGAGAATGTGTGGATGCCGTAGTGGGAGCGTTGTACTTCTTAGACGAACAGCTGCGGTGGAGGGTAGAATCCGTGCGTGGACGGCCACGGATAGGAACCTGTCCTACGTCTCGTTCAGCGATAGGGGAACTTTCCAATGGACTTGACAGGTCTATTATTGTCGTACCCTGTCGCTGCTTGGCCTTGACTTTTGGCATCGGTATCGGCGCTTTGGGCGTAGTATCGACCCTAAGCTCTGTCGATTGATGCGACGACGCCTTGACGCCGACACCGACGTAAGGAAGTTCAAAACCATCCGCGAAGCTATTGGCGTCAGGAGAATCTTCGCGTTTCCTCTTCGCACCAAGAGCTGAAAGGGAGCTGGTTACGATATCTTCACCTGCACGTTTCGCTTCGGCCTTCGTCTTCAGTAATGTGACGATTTTCACGGCTTCGGACAGTTCTTTACTATCATCTTGTTTGGGCCTCCTCCCAGAACCAATGCGCGTATCCTGCATAATATCAATTGCCGCAGCGATATCGGTTATCGCCACGCCGGCGGATGCGCCGGATGGATGGGCAATGACCGCGCACGCCATCATCACAGCAGTGTCGAACAGCGTACGGCCGAAAGAATAGAATAAGAAAGCAGCAGGCTGCGCTTGTCGCCAAGTTGTGTGTAGGATACGCATGGCTTGAAGAATGGCATGCCCTGCGTCAACAACGCTTGACACGACACGGCGGGGAAGGCCGTCTGCGGATGGCGCATTGCAATTCTTGAGGTATGGAAGGAAGACCTTCAAGATAAGCTGGTTGGCGATGATCGCAAGCTCACAGCGCTGGGCTTGGAGATTTGACGAGACGGAAGGTTTGGAGGAGGGTGGCGAAGGAGTGTCGGTATTACTAGTGTCAAAGCGGAACACCCTCGGGAGTTCTGATAGCCAACTCTTAACTTCAGACTCAAATTGCTCCGCACGCTCAACCGAAGACTCTGATGAATCGTTGGGGGTGTCACGAACATATCGCATTTTTATGTTCTTCACGAGCTGTGCAAGACTGGGGCGTATGTGAGAGATCGGAATAGGTATAGAGAGAACAAGGACGAACCGGCACTTCTGAATGAAGTATGCAAAGCCAACTTCCGTAGGATCACCGCCGGCTCGACGAGGGATGGGTAGAGGTAGAGAGGTAGAGGACAATACGAACTGCTCCTCATCCACATCAGCGGGTAGCTTCGTCGTGAATGTCCCATCTTGTATAGAAGGTGCCTGGCCAATGGCGTCCGAGACGAAGCTTCAGGTCCGGGGCGTGAGGTCATGAATCAGTAAGACGTGAAATGACTTACACATCGTAATAATAAATATCCCACCAAATACGTCTCCGTTGTTCAGCCTCGAAGAGGTTGTACTTGCCAGGGAACTCATCAGGATCCGTCGAAAGGCCCATCATTTGGCCAATATGGATCACTTTCCCCAGAAGCGGATAAATAAAATGAGCAACACGGGGCCGGCTATCATGGAGCAAGTAGATAATTTGCAGAAGGTACGTGACCACTGCGTCCAGGTCGTATGGATGCACCATCTCAAAAGCGGCCATGGCTTGTCTTGACAATGCAAATAGTCCCGAAGCAGAGTACTTGTTCCACGCGGCCACTTTCTGGGACTGGGAGGAAGAGGCAGCACGGCTATCCTCCAGACGAGGATTTTTCGACGCTGTGCCCGCCTTCTGAGTGTCGCTATCACTAGATGCCTCGTTTTCCTTGCAGACCAAGACACCCAGAGCATATGCGACCGAGACAGAAGCAAAGAAAGATAACGTAGGCGCAGGTCGTGGAGCCGAAGTAACGGGAGTCTGCGCGCAAGTAGTCGGGAAAAAGATAGACCTCGCAAGCTCAGCCTTCGCGTTTAAGTTATTTGCACTTGTTCCAGTGGTGCCTCGCCCGTCCTCTTCTTTAGCCCAGGCAAACATGCTCTCTACCCGAGCACGAAAATGCTTCACGTTGAAGCACGGCCGCATCTTCATGGTCTCTTCGACAGCTGTGATAATACGGGACCGTATAGTGGGAGCAGAGGGCAAAATCGCAACTAGGGAGGGTGTAACTGCTGCTTGAGAAGAGGATGTCGGGAAAAATATACTGAATGATGGGATCATGGTTGGGAAAGTGGGCTCGTCATGAATGGCTAGCTCCGTTGAAGACGGCTCTAGTTTGACGGAGGCGGAAGGCGAAGAGGAACTGGCACTTAATGACGTGCTTGTCTCGACGGGATATGAGCGAGGAAATTCCAGATGCTCTAGCCAAAGCGCGGCGACGTCGTCAAGAGAGACAGTGACAGAAGACCCTGAGGCACCAACAGCAAGCATGGTGCGGTCGTTATGGGGGAACGGGAAGTTGTCCGAGCCGGTACTGGTGATTGTGGTTGGGACACGAAGCCCTCCTGCAAATATCTGAGCGAGCTGAGACTCGACTATTTGGAGTCGATTGTGCAGTGACTGGACGTCGCTGGGGGTGGGGGGTCAGGATAATGCGAGAAATAAAGTAGAAATACTGGACTAACATCTTCTCCGCAGCCGCAGCGGTGTATTGGCAGCGTTGAACGGTGTCGCGCTTCACGCAGGAACCACAGGGATTACGTCTATCGCATCTCAACTTGAGACGCTTGCACTAAGGTATGATTTAGAAGGCGCGAAAAGACGGGATGGTTAGAGAGCGTGCCGACGGACCTCTGCGCATACGACTGTGATACGCGAGCGTATATGGCTGGAAACGCGTGGCATTAGACAAAGCAAAAAGGAAGGGCGGAGAGGGGAAGGGGCTGACAGTCCGTTGGAGAATTTGGGCGTCGAAGATTGTTGATTGGAAGAGGTGGTAGTGGTAGCCGAGGGAGTCGCAGGAGTGGGAGTGGGATCCTCCGTCGTGGGAGACGGTGGGTCCATTGGGAGATTGTACCACAGTGGCTCGGAAGGAGGAGAGAGATGGTGGTGGAAAGGAGAGAGCGGGAACTAAGATTAAAGGAGCCTGTTCTCGAGTCTATTACGTACATGGATGGATTTAATTACGTCCACGTAACTACTTAACCGCCCACTAGCGGGAGACTAGCAATCCAGTCTAGTCTACTCTAGCTCTCCACGATCGCCCTAATTAGCGGCGCCGCCACCTTTCTCGTCGCCTGTCCGTTTCCCTGCTCATATATCCTCACCTTTAGACCCTTCCCGACACCAGACTCCAAACCGGCTGAATACTTTTTCCCCTCCTTCCGTTCCAGCCTTAGCTCTTCACTGGCCTCTAATCCATTCCACAGCCGCTTTTTGGCTTCCTTGACGTCCCGAACAACCCACAGCATCTCTCTCCGATGCCTTCCCTTGTCCTTCCAACTCGTTAATATGCCAAGCATATCTAAACCCTTATCTTTTACCCACGAGGCGCATGCCGTCCCTAGCGCCATTCCACCCTTTTCGTCTCCCCCCGTGATCGCCTTGACACTTCTCGGAACGCTCGCCAATCCGACAACAAGAGTGCTCTCGGCATTCCAAGAGGGTACCCACCGGTATTCTTTATAGTCCCTCCGCAGAAGGTCACGCGGTGCAAGATGGTCGACGCTGTCCTTCTTGGCCTCTAGCATTTTCGTAAGTGCCTTAACTTCTTCCACTCTTTGGGTGTCGATGATGTTGTTAACACTTGCACCCGTAAGCTCCGCCCTTTCGAGCAAAAATGGCCCCACTTCTCGGTCCGCGACCTCTGCCTTCCCACCAGCCTTGAGTCCGCCAGTGTCGATCAGGATAGCACTTAGCAGCAGTCGGGCGACCGCGCAGCTCATACCCCCAGGCCACTCTTTCTTTATCAGTCGAGCGACAAGCGACGAGCATGAACCTGTGGGCACTTCGATGATGCGTGGAGACGCATCAAGGTGATGCTTCTCGTCATCATGATGGTCTATGATCGCGACAACTCGCACACGCTCATAGGCTGCGAAGCGCCTCGCCAGTGTATTGTGATCCAGTAATGCAGATTTCTCCGCGGGGGCCGAATTGGTAGGAAGTTCGTCACCCGTGAGGAGATTCGAGGAATCCACACCACTGAAATCGAGGGCGTACAGGTTTTCCGCGCGGAGAGAGATGTCGGCACGAGGAGTCTGCAGAAGCGGGACCGTTGGCTGCCCGAGGTGGTGTGTAGCGTACCAAGCGTAGGCGACGGCACTTGCTAGCGAGTCGAGATCTGCAATTAGATTAGCTCGTAACATCAGACCGAGGGATCAAATCGAAGGCATACCGCCGGCCTCATTCCCCATAGAAATCGTCCATCGATCGTGTTGCGCATCGCCTTGCACAGCCTGGAGATATCCATATTTTTGTGCCCGAAGGAATTCAGACAGATTCGTCGATGCTGTCTGGGACATCGCTTGATCTTGTTTTGCGAATATGCCTTCAATAGGAAGAATAGTCGCACGATGCAGAACGGGTGTCCGTAGTAGTGATGATCTACGGTAGAGAATTCGAATGGCTAGCTTCGGAATAGTAGTGTCGATTGCGCCCCGAAACGGAGTTGACGTTATTGTATTAAGCCGAGTTTCAGAAGGTGGTGGTGGTCATGAAGGAAGCGCGAACTTCGCAGCATCGCATGAACTGGACAGTCATCTCTTTCGGCGTCGGCGTCTGTCATCTCAATTTGGATGGCCACATTTCGGGTGGAAGGAGAAAAAGTAAGGCGCTACCAGGGTTCGAACCTGGGTTAGCGGAAAGCAGAGCAAGTCAGAATCCGCTGTGATAGCCACTACACTATAGCGCCGTCACAGTATGTTCACTTTCATACATTTGAATACTATGATGAGCACGGTCTGGTGTTTAAATATCCAGTCCCCATCTCAGTCTCGCTAGATGTTCGTCTACCAGCGCTTGTTAAACGTGGTATGAATATGAAGGATGGCATCACTCAGTTGACTTCGCAACAGGTAAGACGGATTGTTGACATGATATTGAGTTCTTTAATTTATATGATGGCCTGGTGAAGCGGTACAGTTTTACCGTGCTTACCATCTAGTCGTCATGGTCGCTATTTAATACAACTTCCATTTCATTCGTTTCCCCTCTCTCACCCGCGTGCGACGAGAAGACTTCGCTGCCAGAAGCGAGAGAGTCAATCAGCAGAGCTAGCCGCGATTTGGTCATATTCGGCTCCTTCAAGTCAACGTGATGGGTAGTCAGGAAAACACAGAACGGCGATGCCGCACCTTGCGAATTTGCTCAAGATCGTCACTAAACGCGTCCGCTACGGACGCCATCCAAAATTGTCGGAATCGGTCCCGCAGGGCCTGCTCTTCTTCGGCCCGATTACTGGACCCCGCTGGGGGTAAAAACGGTGGGAGGTCGACCGGCGGCGGTGAGGGTGAAGGCGATCGGGCTTTAGCGCCCTGCGATTTCACAAATGGAGCCTGAGATACAGTTGGTAGTGCACTGGATTCGTGAAGTGAATCGTCTTCCGAATCGGACGACGAAGGTGAAGATGAGGATGAGGACGAGGGCGAAGATGGCTCCTCGACTGAAGACGGCGCAGCTTGTTTTTTCAGAGGCGCCTTTTTGACCGTACTTTTGTTGGGTGCTTCATCCGATGATGAAGATGAGGATGAGGATGATGAGGGCGAGGAGGACGAGGCCAAGCGCCGTTTGCGTTTTCGATTTCGCTTTCGTGGTGCGGGTGGTTTAGTCGGAGGCATCTTGTGTGGTGCGCGTCAAAGACCAAACAGCAGTCCACCTTTTGCCGCCGCTCGACACGCTTCAATGGCAACCGACTTCTGGGCAAGCTCGCACAAGTAGGTTCCTGCAGCTTTTACACGAACTCCCCGATAACACCCTTCGTAGCAAACGCTGGATTGTAGATCGTGCTACACTCAAACAAGCTCGCGCCGATGATATCCAATATGTCCCGTCTCCAGACCACATCGACTTGCTGAACATTTATTTCGCGAATCGTGCGCTCACACACATCCGACTTACCGTACAAATGGATGCTTACGCACGGCGGCAGTCATCGGAATGTTGGGCAAACGCTTGGCCCTGCGCCAGAGGGTCATCGCGACGGCGACGGTCTTTTTCAGGCGGTTCTACGTCAAAAACCTGTATTGCGAGACGGACCCTTTTATCGTGATAGCCGCCTGCTGCTACGTCGCCGCGAAGGCAGAGGAATCGCCGGTCCACATAAAGAACGTCGTCTCCGAATCACGCCTCATGTTCAGCCGTACGTACCGCGCCCAGCTTCTTGTCTCCCCAAGATATAGCTCAACTGCGTTTCGCGAGCAGAGGAGGGCTATGGCATCAAGAACTTTCCGTCGGACAACTCGAAGCTCGCGGAGATGGAGTTCTATCTCGTGAGCGACCTCGAGTGCGACTTAGTCGTGTTCCATCCATACCGTACCCTCCTCACTCTCTGCGGGAGAGAGACGGCCTATGCGTTCGATACCGAAGCGGGTGAAGTCGGCGTCGGGATCGACAACGGTCCGCGGTATTGGGGCACGGGCGAGGGCAGACTCGAGCTCGAGGAAGGACCGCTGCAGACTGCATGGTACGCACGCCACTACATTTTTTCCTCACCCCCGGTCGCTTCAACGCAGCATCGTCGCAGGTTCATCATCAACGACACATACCGCTCTGAGATCTGTCTCCTCTACCCACCGCACATGATCGCCATCGCAGCGATCTACCTCACGCTCGTGCTAAACGACAAGACGCGCGAGGCGGTCCAGGCGCAGGCGGCGCCCGTGCCCCCTCCACGCCGCTCCTCGCGTACCACCTCCGGCAGCGCGCACCGTAAGTCCGCGCCTGCGCCGCAGCAGGACTTTGTCGGCTTCATGGCGGGCCTGAACGTGTCCCTGCCCACGATCGCGATGATTGCGCAGGAGATCCTGTCGCTGTACACGCTCTGGGGGCGTTACTCCGATACACCGCCCGAGTCTGGGCTCGGTGCAAGCGGCGCGGGGGAATGCAGTGGGGACGACGTCGTCACGCCCGCGTTCTTGACACACTTGTTGCTGCGCATGCGAGAGGGACGGCTTGAGGACCTTGCGCATCCTGCGAGTGGCCAACCAGTGGCCGTGAACAAGAGACTTGAGAGAACACAGGCTGCCGGTTGACTCTATCATACTTAGAGGCATAGACTTTCGAATTGCACGGGTCATATATATATATGTTGGTTCGTCATCATGGGTGATGGACTGTTAGCCCAACGGTCTCCCACTCATACTACCATAAGTTACAGGTTACAATAAGTTTCTTTTCGATATATATAGTGAGTAGCAGAAAAAATGAGTACATATTCCAAAAGTCGCTCGCATCAGAGTTACCCGTAGCTCGAATCGCCCGCAAATCGCCCGAGGATCTCAGCGATCCTCGAAGTCGGCAAACGGATCTTCTGCGGTCTTCATCATGGTCTTGTCATTCTCGCCACCACCATACGACGGTAGGCTCCTGTCGAAAGGAGGCGGGGGACCGGAAGGCGGAGCGTAGAATTGATCGTATGCCAGATCGGGTAGATTTGCATTGCTATCACCACCACCCACCGCGTATCCAGGGCCAGCTGCATACGCGGGGTTGTATGTCGTGGGAAGGCGGTCGCGTTTAGCGCCTTCCGCGATTGCCGTCTCTTGCTGGGCATAAGAGAAGGAGATCACGGCGAAGAAGGTCATGAGGACTGCGAAAACTGGTTAGATGCCTGTAAGTGACAATGTTCGCAAGAGGTGCGCACTGATTTCGGCGATGAGCCAGACTATCTCGGAGAAAGAGTCGTGATTCCAGGCATTCTTGCAGACTGCAAAACGGGGTGAGCTGGGGCTTTAGACTTGGCGTACAACAAAAATTACGGACAATTAGCAGCCTCCTGTGGTGTGAGGTTGTTGCGGGGATCTGCGTTCCAGATACCCCATCGGAAAACTACGTTTTCGCCTTGAGCAAGGGAAGTACATTCGGCAATCAGATCGCTCTGCATGATCATCTGATCAGTCAAAGAAACGGTAGTAACTCCAAGTACAGACCTTCAGCATAAAGTGGACAATCGTTCGCAACAGGCCTGATGCGATCACGATGACGGTATCCACGATGGCCAGGAAAGAAAAGATACGAATTAGGGCGAGGCGTTTCTGTAAAATAGCGTGAATATTTATGAGGGACAGACAACGACTTTCAACCGATAGACATACGGTGGCAGCTGCAACGATGCCGAAGATGAATATGACGGTAGCTCCCATATACAAAGATCCGAGCACGATTGCGAACGTAGCGAGCCTCTTTTCATGCTCTGGGAGGCGAAAGTATAAAGGCGTGGCATCAGGAAGGAAGTAAAGAAAGACTTACGCCCCCGATCTGTACCAAGCTCTTGGAAGAGCGAGATCTGAACAAGGTGTTTGTCAATCGCGTCGCACGTTATTCATCGGAGGGCAAGGCGCCTACTCACTGCACTTTGATCGAAGATACATGCAAGTCTAGTGAGCTTCTCATACGATATAGATTACAGTATAATCCTTACGAGGCAAGGGACCAGACGGCTCCAGAGAGTGCAACTACATGGCGCAAGGGTTGAGCTGAGAGTCATACGCAGCGAATGAACGTACGGGGAATAACAGCTGATCGTAGACTCTGTTTCGTCATTCGACTCACATATGCATATGGGGCTGGAGAGTATGATGTAAAGCTGATGAAGTTCGGAACAAGGGTTGGCTCACCTGCCGCTCTGTTCATGGTGGGAATGGGAAGGATGATATCGAGAACGAGGCTGTGATTGTGGACGTGGAACTATATAAATGATAGCGGTGGCACCGGCGCCGTGAAACCCTTTCGACGATGAGGTCGATGAGGCGATGATAGGTCAGTAGTGCTGGTCAGTGCACAGGTTATTGTCGTGGATAGCGGATAGAAGAGGAAACCGGCGACGCGCGCATTGATGCGCTCCATTCCTCAAGGCCTCAAGGCCTCCTGGCGGCCTCAATGCTTTGTCTCACCGTCTCACACTTATGCGACTATTATATAGCCAACCTCAGGCTGGCCCATGTGTTCAATTGTTGTAGGCGGTCTTTCGCACCGCTTTTTTTATATCTTTGTTTGGCTCTACAGTATTCTATCGGTTCTAAGCTCTCACAGTTCTTCCCAGTCACAGTTTGGCCGAGATCAGGAGGTTCTCACTGCGTAGTGCTCGCTATGCTTAACGACTGCAGCTCATCAGTATCCCGAAGGCTTCAAGTTTCAATACGTGTACAACAGTTGTGTAATGTCTATATTTCGAAGAGTCATCTGAGTGTGTGAGAAGCCCCGTTGTCCTTGCCCCTGTCGTAGAGACCTTGGTCCCGACAAGTCCCATGAAGTTGTTCCAGAAATTCTGTCAGGATCAAGTCCAGCTGTTCTTCAATACAGCCCTCAAGAAAATACCAAACTCATGAGAAAGATAAGATAGACGCCATCTACCGATAACTCAAACCCATTAAGGATTGTGGACGAACATCTACTCTCCTCCTTTATACCGCATCTCACATATGCCGGCACAAACGCCTACAGTTCTCTCGCTCATCCCTGTGATTTTATAGACCTTTTTGTATTCTTTGACAACAGTAAGGCGTAACGCCACCTTGAGTTCCGCAACTGTTCCGCAGCAACGTGTTGTCCATGGCGTATCGACAGGATCTCGGCAAGCCAGCTAAGCTGCCAGAAAAGAGCCAAACAAAGGACATGAGCAAGTGGTCTATCGTAGTTCAATGTGCTGAAAACTCCTGTATGTCTCAGCGCCTTGTGTGTCTGGACCATCGTCAT